AGGAGAAATTTCCTGACAGTTAGAACAATTAATCAGTGGAACCGCTTGCCTCCAGAAGTTGTGAATGCTCCAACGTTGGAGATTTTAAAGAATAGATTGGATAGGCATCCTTCTGAAAAGGTGTAGGGCCTCCTGCTTGAGCAGGGGTTTGGACTAGAAGACCTCAAAGATTCCTTCCAAATCTGTTATTCTGTTACACAAATAATATAAGTCTTTAGCGATTTCTTTAAAAAAAAGGTGGGAGGCAAGGTCAAATAAACAACTGAAAACTTTCACTACTCCAGGAACTGATAGCCTAACAGTAATGATCTTCATCTCAGGACAGGATAAACGGCAGATAAATTTAATAAATAAACAGGTAAGTAAGTAAGTAAGTAAATCTCTACAGTTCTATTTCAGCTCTCAGATCCCTGTATTATCATCTGCTCCATAACTTTCTGTGAACAACTTATCCAGTTTTCCTCTTTCCCCAAATAAGCTCTTGTGAAGTCATTTCAAAGAGGAATCCCTTCACCGGCAACGTATAAGCTCTTTAATACATTTTTGTAGTTCCAAAAAGAAGGGGAGGGAAGAGATACCAGGCTTCAGAAAGAGCCATGGTGCTGGCCTGTAAGAATCGCTGGTGTGGAGTATATACATATGAACAATGAAATCAAGAATTTTCCAAAAGGATTCCTACTGAACTGTAGGCAACTATAGTTTCATTCAATCTCCCAACAGTGGGGGCTGAGGCCAATGGAGAGATAAGGCCACACACACACCTCCCCATTGGAAGAAATGTCCATCTGGGTTCAGTTTCATGTGGAAAGAAAGACACTGGAAACATGGAGATTGCTGGAAAGATGGTTTAATGGTGGACAGCAGGACCACATGGGGGTTAAGTCCTGGGCAAAATGGAGAACATGGGTGAGAGAGGGAGAGATTTATAAACCTTTGTTGGGCTTTGATCTTGCTTCCTGTTCCTGTGGCAAGAAATGTATCCTGATTGGTTGTCAGACTCCCATGAGGCCATGCAGGGGCAATTGTAGGTTGTCTTGAGTCCCAAGCTTGGCTGAATCTTGCTGGCTGATATAGTCTTCCCAAGTACCATGTAGTAAAATGGGTAGAGGGCTAATCCTATCATGTCCTGAGGGCCATGTCTTAATCCCATCAACCTGGAGCTGAAGGTCTTTTGTGTTGTAAATAAGATGTCTTTTGTCTTTTTGGGGCTACTACCAAAGGTGGGGGCCGCTTTCCATTTCTCCTTTTCGCATCCAGGAAGGTAGAATATTCTGCCTTTTGAATATTTCCTAGAATATTTCATTCTTCTAGTAGCGGGGTAGGTGCTAACTTCCTACCCCCCCCCCAACTCATTTCAAGAAATGAGCCTGATGTGTCAGCAACCTCACACGAAACACCAAAATGTGATTGATGGAACACCCAAGAGAGAAATGGGCAATGGATAGCATAGCAGGAGTCCTTGAAATAGCCACATCCAGATGAAACAGCAAACTCCCA